CTGACATTTCTATACTGATAAGGCAGGAGGTGGCTGGAAAGATGGACAGGTGGCATTTTGCTTACTGTTTTCATTTATTTTTTAATTGACTTTAAACATTTATCAAAGTATATATGCACAAGATTTTTTTTAAAAGTCAAATAGGATCAAAGGGGCTGTCATGAAAAGCAGTTCCTCATCCCACTCCAGCCCCTCTCCCCAAAAGTTACCACAGTTAGCCATTTCTATCTTAGTTTAACTTATTTCACTCCAAATACAGTTGTTGAATATTTATGGTTCCTCTACTGGTTATCTTTGTAACTTTCAATAACAAGCCTCTAGTGCTTCCATCAACTGTAGACAGTATCTCTTGGCTGTTGTCTTTGTGATATCGGGATGTTGCATTCCTACCATTCCCCCCCTCCTTCAACCATCCAACTCCTATCGCTGTTGTAGACAGTAGGGACCTAACTTTCAAGTATTTGGGTGTGACAGGGGAAATCACTAGGGGATTTCGGTTACTGAAAGAAATTCAGTAAGGCTAAATTTTAAGTAATAAAATGAGGATATGTTTTATAACCATATTTCATTTTCAATGCTTTTTCTATAGGTTGAGTCTAAAAGTAGAAAACTAATAACTAGACTGTGTGAGAACACAGTCAAGGGGGAATTACGGGATGGCAAACAGTATACCCTCGGTCTGTGTCTGCTTGGTCTTCACCATCTCCTTAACTTACACTCATATGGGTGACTTTACAGCAGAAGAGTTTTTGTTTCAACTTATGTTCCTTGGAAGAAGATCATAGACAAAGGTGAAGCTGGTTCCCAGCCCAGTTCTACCTCTAGCAGAGACTCCAGTATCTTCAGAGCCCTCCCATGTGGTCTCTCATTCATGATCATGTTTTACTGCTGAGTCCCTGGGCATCATCAGAGTGGCTCCAAAAGTGAATCACATGGACTTCTCATAGCAGTCTTTTGAGATGTCTCGAAAATTCCTCCTACTTTGAGAACTGTTCTCCCTCCCTCAATTCACGGAGACTGGTCCCAATAGCCATGTCTATACTACACGACCCTATCTCTATGACCACAGCAGTATGGGCCAGGAAGTGGCACATGACACAATCGGTTTGTCTCCCCTGGAAATTTTAAATTGAGGCTAAAACTGCCCAGTTGAGTCTGGGTGGATCTCTTGGATAGAGGAGACATAAAACCTCAAAATCTAGCTTCCATCTTGAAGATCAATGAGTAGAGAAGGCAAAACAATCTTTTTCAACTAAAAATATGGACAGAGGCAGAGATGAAAAATAGAGTGACTGTCAAAGACTCCTGATGGCTTTTATTCCCTTGTTTCAGCTCCTTGCTGAGGACTTTGCTTGAAGGTTTCTAGAAACAGCACCACATCCTTATACCAAAACCCCAATTTCTTAAACTAGCTCCAGTGAGTTTCTGCTATTTACAGCCAAAATGTACTAACAAAATATCCCCTACTATGTAACGGGCTCCTTGGGGGGTAGGAACTATATCTGTGTATTCTCCAAACTGCTAAGCAGAATGTTTTGTACATAGTAGGCACTCACACAAAGCATTTATTGAATTGAATCAGCTGCCGGTACTCCTTCCTAAATAACACAGCCACTTTCAGGGGCACTGACTCCTTCTGACGTGAGGGTAGTTCTGACCTATGAGAGGATGAACAGAAAAAAGCACAAATCCACCTTGCCAGCTACTCTACTACCTAAGAATCCAATGCAGGAGGGGTGGAAAGTAGCCTTAATAAGAGAATCAAACATCAGTTTCAAACTGCTTAAGTGCCTCCCAGTCTCCTGCCACATTAGTAGGATCAAAGAAGGTCATCTGCAAACACAGAGAAAGAGCCTGGCTCCATCATTATAAGGAAAGATGTGCTTTCAATCTCTTGGGTCCCTTATGGATCTGGTGAAAGAGCCCTCTAGTGGTGAAAGTGATCAATTACACCTGGGCTTAGCCGCCTATTCTACGCACACATGTACACACACCCACACATTCAATTGAATGAAAGGATGAGGTCACCCCCTAGTAACTGGGGAGGCATCATCAGGAACTAACTGACGGCTTCCCTGTCTCTGCACTCCCACTCCAGTCAGGTGTTCTGACTCTCTCCAGATGCAGGTTCAGGTCTTGCCATCCTCTGTGATCAGCTTTGGCCCTGAGCAGGGGTTGTAAAGGATAATCCTGCCAAACCAAGCCAGAGGCTCAGTATAAAGTTTCATTCTTGTTATGTGGATCCCTTTCTCTCCTTCAGAAAAATTGTCCACATCCTGACCCATGATTGTCACCTTCATCTGCCTGAGTTCCTGACCCCTCTCCCCAACCCCACACTGTCTACCTGGATACCTGATTCCTTTCTTCTGGACCTTCTGGGAACCATACCTTGTGTACCTGGGCTTATATTACAGACCAAGGAGATAGAGCGGGGGCTGCTTTTGTTTTACTGTGCGTCTGGTGAATGGAGTGATTGGCGCACACTCTTCCAAAGCCCAAAGCCCATTGACTTTCCAATCACATGATCTTGTTTTGGGAAAAGACCTTTCTCACTCCTATCAGAAGAAGAGAAGAAACAAACAGATCCTGGAACAGCTGCTTTGGTCATTATTAATTACTTCATATTATTTAAGTTTCAGAGATGGGGAAAGAAAATTTCACTAATTTAGTAACCCTTCTCAGGAAAGACCAACTTCACCTCCATGTTACATATGGCTTTTTCCTTTAAAAAAAAAAAGGACATTTACTGAGAAGCAATTTTTCTTTTCAGGAAAGAAAAAACAATAAGTAACTTATAGAAGGCCTTGTGTATCTTCCCCCATTACCTCCTATCATTCTTCTGGGGTATGACTAGCTGTGGTCTTGGCCCCAAGTTTATCTGTTCTATTTTGGTTATGTGGCAAAATTTCAGTATTTCTATTTCCTGCCCACAAATCAGTGTTTGTGATCCACGACACATGCATAAGCAAGTAAGTGCATGTAGGTGCATAAACTTACACTATACCTATACTTAAGCATGTACACCCACAAATGCACACAGCTATGCATTTGCAGCAAACAGGCTTACTGCAGTTTGCTTGCAGCAAACTGTAAGCAGGTACAGACATATCTTTACATACTTGCTTTACTTCCACAACAAATCCCCAGTCATTCAGAACTCATAACTAAATTGAACACGGCACAGGTAAACATTCAAACACAGTCACATGATGACTATATATTCAAACATACACATGCTTGCGCAGGTATAGTATATATAACACCAAGAACCAAGCCTTTAAGTGAACTTGAGACCAAAAACAAACCAAAAAAAAAGTAAAAAAGTAAAAAGTAGCAGAGTCACCAAGCAGTTGTGAGCTGCATTTGAGAACTCTTCCATGCATTGCTGCTAACTCATTCACCTAGATAGAAGCTCTCAGATGGAGAGCCAGAGATGGCACCATTATCTTTTTTGTCCAGTTAAATAACATTCAAATATGACAGTTGGTTATGAACACATCTCGGGGACGGCAGAAACAACCCAAGCAGCCTCAATTCCAAACACCTGACCTCTGGGTATCTGTACCATCATGCCAAAGGAAAGAAAATAATGAGGGCATTCTGTGGACTGTCTTTAGTGTATTCGGTGTGCTCAGAATACATGGTAACAAAAAGCTAGTTAAATTAAATGCTGATCCTTTGCAACATTGCAACATTGGCTATTTCTAAGGAAGCATCTCACTAGCTTTCAGGTATGAACTGACATTTGCACTTTGGACTAACAAGGAAAGCAAACCCAACTTCACCTGCCTCCTGGTCTAACTTAGACAAGGATGTTAACAAATGAACATCCCAGGGACATTTGAAGAGAATCTGACATTTTCAGCTACTCTCCCACCTTGAATCCATCACCACTGCCAGCCCCAAAATGTAGGGTTGTTAAAATATATGTGTTTTCAGAGACCACAATCTCACATCCCCTTGGCCCAAATCCCTAATATGCATATAAGAGAGTCTACATACTTCTAGCTCCTTCTGTCTTTTAGTAATGCATGATGATATGTATACGAACAGTTCCGGGTCTGGTCTGAGCACGTTGTCTCCAGTGTAAACCAGAGCTCCAGAGAAAGGAGGGTAGACATATTGGTTTGTTTTCTGGGGAACCAAATTGAGACAGACTATCCACAGATGTGCCTATGACAACACTTTTTGCCCGCCCAAGTGAGCCGTAGAACCGTCGCCCGGAATCGCCGGCCCCTTTAAGAAGACTCGGTCTTCCCCGATGGGCTCCAGCGGCTCCAGCGGCGCCCGCAGCAAAAGGCAAACTTGCCTGGCTCCTTGCGGGTGGGGGGCTGGGGGGGAATGCCGCGTCGGGTGGGAGCGGCGAGAGCGCCAGAGTGCGCTGCGGGCTCCTTTCCCTTTCCCCTTTCCTTAACCCTTCCGGGAGAGGGAGAGGAGGATCAGGGTCGTGCTGCAGCGCTACGGAGCCGGGGCGCTGACTGCCCTGATCTCCCGAAACTTTGCGCGGAGCGTGGGTTGACTAGGCAGAGCCGAGCAGGCTGGCTGGCCTGGGAAGGGCGGGGAGAAGACAGACCCTTCAGTACCCCAGGTCTCTAGCCCGGGCGCTGGGAAGGCGGGGGGTGCAGCCGCCGCGGAGGAGCTGTCCCTTCAGCACCACGGGCTTAAAACTGGGCGTTAAGAAGGCGGAGGCGGGGCAACAGGCGGGGAGCTGTCCTTTCAGCACCGCAGACCTTTGCCCTCCAATGCAACCTCTCGGCCCCCGCCCCGGGACTGCCTTTTCTCCAGTTTGAGCGGGGGTGTCGGGAGCTGGCGGAGAGCTTTCCTGGGAGGCTGGGGAAGCAATGAACACTCTTCTCAGAGACTCGCCTCCCAGCAGCGCTATTTTTTGCCATCCGCCCTCACCCCCAGCACACGCGCTCGCACACACACGCACGCACGCACACACACACACACACACACACACACACACACACAGACCTCTCTGGATTTCTTTGCCTTGAGTCTCCCGGGGCTGTGAGGAACCAGGCGCATCTCAAACCGAGCTGGCAGCTCCAGGCTCCAGAGCCATGCCCTGCACGGACCCTCATGCTCACCAAGCTCCTGAGGAATGAAAGGAACCCAGGGACCCTCAGAAGGCAGCAGTGATGTGGACCAACCCCCTGGAGCCTGCACCCTTCCGAGGGCCATAGGCGACCCAGGGAACTGGAGAGAGCTCCAGACAGGAAATCCCAGCTTTCCCAAAGTCCCTGTGGATGCTGACACAAGGAGACCTGAATTTTTGGAAGGGCCTGTCCTAGGTTACCCAGCTGCAGAGTGATTTTCCCCTCTGGCATTGAACCTCCCTCTCCAACCCCCAGCCATCTAGAGTACCATGAAGAAGTATGAGGATGTGTGACAGAGGAATCCAGATGTTGATCACTACTGTGGGAGCCTTCGCAGCTTTTAGTTTAATGACCATTGCAGTGGGCACGGACTACTGGTTATATTCCAGAGGTGTGTGCAGGACTAAATCTACAAGTGATAATGAAACCAGCAGGAAGAATGAAGAAGTAATGACCCATTCAGGGCTGTGGAGGACCTGCTGCCTAGAAGGTATTTACAAATTCCTCTCAATGGCCCTAAATAATCCAGTTTCTGATATTCTGCTATTCCAATGTGTCGTTGGGGAGATGGAGGCAGTGATGGGGAAAGAGAGATAGTTCAAATTATTGCCGAGAATGTGCAGACATCCAGATTGTTCCAAGCAAGACTAATCCTGTGTGGGATAAAAGGGTTGGGTCTCGTTGATTGTTTTTGGTATAAGCTTCATGAGAAGAGATTTTGTGGCACTCTAGGCAGCTTCTGCAGTTGAGAAAATGTCTTCAAATCTAAAATCTCTAGGTGTATTGTGAACTGCTTTGCTTTGATCTCTGGCTTGAGATGGGGTCTTTGGCTCTGCCTAAGTTGCATTTCAGTAGGGGAGAGGTGAAGGAAGAGAAAAGGAGGGAAGGAAGAGGGGAGAGAGAGAGAGAGAGAGAGAGAGAGAGAGAGAGAGAGAGAGAGAGAGAGAGAGAG